TAATATTGAATGTATTATAAGTAGCTGTTCTTTTTGTCAGCTTAATGAATTATGGAATTAAGCAGGGTGTATTTTATACCATGATCACCAATAAGACAGAACATTTTTGACCCATCATAGTCTACTGGTTCGGAGATCACTGTGGGTAACGCCAAGATGAGCTATACATAAAAGAACGCTAGCTGGCACACCTGCACTCTTTACATTCAATCTTTTGCACTGAAACAATAAAGGTGCACTCAAGTATTTTGGTTATTGAAAGTAATTTTGGTAACAAGTAAAAAAAAAAATGAAGTCATTTTTTTGTTCCTGATATTCATTCCAGTAGTTTTGGACTACGCAGTTAACCCTTTAACTGTCACCGTCCCACAGGTCTTAGTAAATACCTTAAATAATATTGACAAACTATATATCATTTGAAAGCTTATAATCTCTAGTTTCCATATTTGGTGACTGATTTTCAAAATATATTACAGAGGAGCCATAATTTATCAATATGCAACAAGAATATTTTCATACTCATAAGACGTGTTCAGACATTTATTTTAAAATAGCAGTAAACATGAAAAATCATGAAAAAATGGTAGATACCTCAGTTTGTTTTCATGCCAAAAGTTCAAAAGATAGAATCCATTCAATTATTTTGCAAAAAAAGGTCTGAAAAGTTTGAAATATCAAGAAAAAAATAATAAATTCACCATTTGTGACGTGGCAGCTAGCTATGACTTACATGCGTGTTCTTTGTATGTGTTTCTTAGAGGTTCAATTCATTTCAAAATCTGCCAAACTTCCCATACTACTTCTGAAAAGGATCTCTACTTCAGAAATTGTATGAAAATTGTGAAAATAATGGTTCATATCACTCAAAACATGAATGGAAATGCAGGTGCCCTTATATGGGCAGTAATGGAGTCTGATTGTGCCCTAGTGAAAAAGTTTGGTACTGCGCTAGAACAAAATCTTACTGAAAGCTCATTTTTTGAGATTTCAATCTAAAATTTGAAACACAACTTGTTCAGATTTTTGGCTTTGATCTTTCTGTCGTTAGAGTAGCCCAGGTTTTGAAAATATATATTTTATGTAAATATGAATAATTCATATTTTTACATTGTACATTTCCATAAACTCAAACTTCTATAACTTTTTTTCTGTTTCACTTTCTTAATTTATTTCACTTCTACAAAAATCTGCCAAATGTCTTCTTTAAAACAAGACCAATCATATGTCTATATTCCAAAGCATTCTTGAATTACAGCCATTTAAGTTTGAAATGTGCATTTTCATGTCTATTCAAAAAAGGGGGGGTGACAATTAAGAGGTTAACTCAGTGCCCTCATTGTTGTGTATATTTAGATGTTTAGATTTACATGTATTTTAGAGTCACAGCCTGCCATCTAGTGGCTAATAAGAGTATTACATGCATTTGCAATAGTAAATTATTGGTTTATTAAAATGGAAATTCTGTCATTATTTACTGACACTCATTGTTCAAACCCTTGTGCTTTATTCTTATAAAACACCAAATATTTTAATATTTTTCACACATGGACCAAAAAGAACAAGATACCCCCACCTGCCCCCACAAAAAAAGATTAATTACATAAACGTATGACGTTAATAAAAGCAGTCCATATGAGCCATGACAGAAAAAATATGGGGGTTAGAACAACAAGAGCTAGTAAACAATGACATTTTTGGGTTTCACCAAAAAATACAATTTACATAATTAATGACTCACCCTCATGTCGTCCCAAGCCCATGCGACCTCCGTTCATCTTCGGGAGCACAGTTTAATGTATTTTAGATTTAGTCCAAGAGCTTTCTGTCCCTCCATTGAAAATGTATACACGGTATACTGTCCTTGTCCAGAAAAGAAATAAAGACATCATCAAAGTAGTCTATGTGACTGCAATGGGTTAGTTATAATGTTTTGAAGCATCGAAAATATTTTGGTTAAAAAAAATAACAAAAACTTGATTCAGTGCAAATACAATGGGCTTCCCTTCAACATTAATGCATTTCACATTAAGCTTGACAAAACAGGATAATTTATAAATTAGATTATTTCATTAAACATGTTTCTGTCTGTGATAGTGTATTCGAAAAGTAGAATTTACCTGTCATATGACAAAAATGAATTATCAGGTCCAGTCAAAATTGTTTTAATGGCATTCCAAGAAAGAAAATCGGAATCCGTCTGTCGATGGCAAACCAAGTGGACCCTTTATTAACTTTACCACAACTTTCTATAGGCTATCAAATATTGTTAAACTACGGACTTCTACGATGGGCTCTTTTTTATAAATTTACTAATTTGTCATGTAAAAGTTTAGTTGACAAATTAGCGTTGTATTACAACCGTTACTGATTCCAGACTTCAGAGAAGCTGACTTACTACGATTCACCTGGCTAGGTTTGCCACCATTACTCTCGTGCTCGTGCACATAAACGTGTGACGTTTGCAGCGAACAGCCAATCCCGTGATAGGTGCGCGCGCGGTTTATTTTTCCTCTGAAATTAAAAAGGTCATTAGGGGAAAAATAAATATATAAAGACATTTACACAATAATATGATTATTGTGGACAAAATATATTATGTGGGGAAAATAAATATATAAACACATTTACACACTAATATGATTATTGTGGACAAAATAATATAATGTGGGGAAAAATAAATATATAAACACATTTACACACTAATATGATTATTGTGGACAAAATATATCATGCATTAATAAATAAATAAGCTGTTGATACGATTAATAATAATATGACATAGCCTATATATTGATTGATATTTTAAAACTCTCATTAAAACTTTAGTTTCAAATTATTAGTGGCCCAACTCACCCTATCCAACAGACAAAACTGTATAGATGAGACCCTTAGTAGTTACAAAACCAATAATAATTCGATTTTATTTGTTATATCAGCCTACCCTTTGCTTGATTATGTAATTGCAGTGATTATTTTGCAGTATGTAAAGTGTGACAAATATAAAAGAAAAGAACTCTTCAATACAGGATGACAAAATATTTATTTGCAAACATGCTTTACAAACGTTGCGCATTAAAATAAGTCTTAAAATAAATGTCAACAAACATATTTAAAAAGGTAGCTTCATGGTGGAATGTCACATATACTTTTGGAATCCTAATTGAAAAAAAAAACGCTCTGAACTGGTAGGCTGTATGTTTTGTGAAGTTACGCTATTTCATATAATACTTTTCACTATGAAATGGTTAAATTGGAATTTTCTTCTTGTGAAATACATTTTAAGCTGCTGAAATGCTCCAACATTAAATTTGAGTAACTTTTAACTAAATCAGATGACCTGAATACATATATTGATAAATAAACAGACTCATGATAGACTCATTGTAGGGAGGACCAAACAACAATATATTTCAATGAAGCACTTTGGCTTGTATTACACTTCATTTTCAAATAGTCAGAAGTTGCACACATAGCATGCTTCTGAAAAATTATACAGAGACAATATTACCTCTCAGTGAATTAAACATGGCCTGGATAAAGTTTTGACAAGCTGTACGTTCAACCCCCTGAATAGACACTAATAAACATCATGGGGTAGTTGTGTGTTGCCATTTTTGGAAGAACAAGGATCTATGGTAGACATGTTGATTGGCAGACAAGGGCAATTTAATAAGGTAATTATTTTTATAGGAGAACAGCTATTTTCTTTCTCTAGCATATATGCACACTCAACCTTGGGATGCCCACACACACACACTGGGATGACCAAATACAATTATTCATAAGTTCACATAAAGTCAGCAGTGCTGAGATAAATGTCTAATTTAAATTCATGAGTAGGAAGCATTTAGAAGGTTATGTGATACTGTTGAGCTGGAAAATGTCAAACAAATGAAGAAAGATTCATCTCAGACTCCTTGTAATCGTACATATTTGAAAGGAATGGTTCACAAAAAAAAAAGAAGAAAAAAAAGACAAATCATCATTATCACATCATCACTTACTCACACACTTGTTCCAGTCTTGACTATTACTTTCTTCCATAGGAAACAAAATCAGAAAGTCACTATATGCAATTACAATGAATTTCTCATAAAATAGGCTGAATGTGCAATACTTAAAATCTTCTCATGTCATACAATGATTTGTGTAAAACAGGCGATACAGTAGTTGATTCACTTGCCGCTGATTTCTTGCCCTTAGGTGTGCTGTTGACTGTAAAAGCATCTGGATCGAGTTGAAAGATACGAGAAAGACTCTGGTCATATGCAGTCACACTAGTCCTCATTTACTTTGATTAATTTGAAAAGAGTGGCCCAAATATCCAGTAGCACCTCATTGCAGTATACGAGATCCAGGGGGCGGAGTCAGATCCAGATCTGAGGGGTGGAGTTGGGTAGGTTTAGGGGTGGGTTTAGGGATCAGGGGGTGGAGCTGGGTAGGTTTATGTATACGTAAGGTGGGAGGAGTTGGATCTGGATCCGACTCCTCCCCGTGGATTTCATGTTCTGCAGTGAGGACCATCTCCAAATATGTACAAAACAGCATATATTTGCCAAAAAAAAAAAAAAAATAGAAAGTAGTACAAGTAAAAGTAAACCAGCAACTACTACCTTCATTTTGGATGTTTCCTCTATATTTGCAATGTATTTTTAAATGCAATAAAAAATTTTGGTTACGAAAAATTCTGCTTTGTGTCCTACAGAAGAAAGAATTTAATACAGGTTTTAAAAGACATTTTGGGTGAACTATCCCTTTAATAGTTCCAACGTTTGTCCTCTGACAGGACTCATTTAGGCAAGAGATCAACTAATAATAATAATATAAAAAATACAAATAAAAAGCAACATCATAAACCTGTCAAAAACATATGGCAGATCAAACATTGTTTGCACACCCTTGGCATGTTTGGTCGAGCCTAACGTCTATATTTACCTTTAAGTATCAGCACATATTGAAAACTATGCCAAAAATTCCATAAAGCTCTTTTGCCTGTGCAGTGCATGCTCCTTATCATCATTAAAATAGCTAAAATAGTTCTGAAGTTCAGGGAACACAAATGACATATTACAGTAACCGTAACAGATATGCTTATGTAAGTGCTTGGAGTGGAGAAGAACACTGCATTATAGTGATTTATGTCGTCATTTGCTATGGCTTGATTTCTCTATATTCCAATAACAGGAAGAAAAAAAAAACCTGAAGCACCAACATATTTTCTTTACAACTATCTTATGAATATATAAATAAATGCAATTATAATTGTTCCATCTAAAGGTGAAACACATCAATTGGATTTTACTATGTTACTTAGTATATACAGACACGCTATGCATTAATGTACAATTCTTTACATTGTTGAAGCATTCTTTCCTGTTTGGTTTGATTTTTCAAGTGCTCAGAAAGTAAAGCTTGCCTTACACAACAATGCGTTCCTTAACAGCTGCACATAACATTATTTAAGCTGCTGCTTAAGAAGGTGTAACCATCTGTGGCATAGCCTTCGAATGTTTGATGATGCCTTAGTAGATTTAGCATCCTTCATTTTGCAAAATCGACCCTACATGCGAAAAGTGCGACAGTACAGCTTTAAATACCGTCTCCAAATAAGCCCTAACTAACAGTCCTCCCAATGTGTCCTATAGTTGCAAAGTGTTTAACAGTAACAGCATGACCTCAAGGCACAGGACGAATGTGCTGTCCACCAAATCCATTTCTAAACTACTTTAAAGCTGCTTCTCAGTCTGCCTGCCAGATTATATACATTTATATATTCTTGTGCTTTCAGGAGGTTGGTGAGTGGGCTTGTAGCAGGTGTAATTTGGAAATCTTGATGCAAGAGGTTGTGCATGTCTACTTGATTCACAGTGTACTAGGGTGAAATCTCGTTCCCCAACAGAGTCTAGTAAAATGGAGTTTACAAAGGGTGCGGAGACCCAACCCGAGTCCAGAAGCATCCATTTTGGAAGTGTTGGATGATGACTCTTCAACTTCGCACACTATTTCCTCCTCACTGAGGCAGGAAACCTGAGTTTATCATGTCTTTGAAGCTCTCAGATTTTTAGTTACTTCTGGGCTACAGTTGGAAGCAGGAGTTCTGCTGCAGCTTGAATGATATTTGAGCACATGGAAATCTATCGCAAATTTTACTGCTCTTATGCTGTATATATTAAGACAGAGTCAATGAGGTGTACTGTAGCAGTGCAAGAACGTGGCTATGGAAGCATGAGCCTTTTATAGAGCTATAAAGCAGGTCTGTGATGATGTGACATTAAGCTACGTCTTCGTTGCCTTAGGAGAAAGAGCATTGAAGGCAAAGTTGCAGCGCCTCTCAGTCCTGCAGCAGCGTTTCTCTCCAGTTAAAGCTGTGATTGGGTCCGTGGGTGAGCGGCAGGATGGGCGGGTCCACAAGCTGCCAAACACCTGTCTCACCCATCTCTTCACAAGCACAAAAGCCTAAGTAAGGTATCTGTGAGAGAGAAATGGAAAGGGGGAGAAAATCTAGATTGGTTATTATATGGAACAATCTCAAAATATCTAAATAAATACGTAAATTGATGGTGTTTTTTCCTGTTTTTGGAATGACTCTCTTATGCTCACCAATGCAGCATTTATTTAGTCAAAAATACAGGAAAACTGTATACTGTAAATGGTATTACAATTTATAATAACTAATATATTTTACAATGTAATGCATTCTTCACGTGAATCATTCCAAGACGCACTTTTGGACAAGAAACATTTCTTATTTATTATCAATGCTGAAAATGTTTGCGCTACTTCAGATTTTTGATGGATAAGCGACTTGATAAAAGATAAAAGTATTAATTTCTTGCAAAAAATAAAAAATAAAATATATATATATATATATATATATATATATATATATATATATATATATATATATATATCAGTGATCTAAAAGTTTAAACAATTATGTATAAATCTAAATATTTATTCAGTCAATTATGTATAAATCTAATTTTTTTTTACAATTCTTATATTAAATATAATCTGTAATTTGTATAAATACCTTATTTGTATATATACAAGTGAAACTCGAAAAATGTGAATAAAATTTGAATATTAATTTATTTCAGTAATTCAACTTAAAGCTGCAGTCCGCAGTTTTTCCTCTTTGTCGCCATCTGCGATTGCAGTTATTCGCGCAACTATCAACACGGTGCAATTGGCTGTACAAATATAATAGGCTTCCCTTCAACATTACTGCATTTCACATTAAGCTTGACAAAACAGCATTATTTATACATTAGATGATTTCATCATACATGTTTCTGTCTGTGTATAGTGTATTCGAAAAGTAGAGTTTACCTGTTAGGGTTATATATGGTTATAGCCATAATCATTCAAATTATAACAAATAATGGCTATATAATATATTAGTTTTACCTTTTAAGTTAATTTTACTAGTCAATATTCACATCTGTAATGCATTTATATAAAAATATGGAGAAATAGAATATTTAAAAAAAAATGCATAATAGATCTGACCTTTCTGACCACTTGCACAAAGTCTTTAGAGTTCTGTGGGGACAGACCCTGTATCTGCCTTGTACAAGCCTCAAGAGAGGAAGCATGGGCCACAATCAGCACTGTATTTCCTGTTGGACACCAGAACAACATAGTAAATATAAAACTTCTTAAAGCATAAGACATGTAGATCAGTATAGATTCAAACAAACAAAATACATAGCCGCACTCATGACCTACCCGGATTATTGCACTCTGACAGAATTTCACGAGTCACTTGGAAGCTGCGACTGATGTAAGTTTCATAGGACTCAGACACGGCCAGTTTACTGATGGGTATATGAGGTCTGCAGAGGAACAAGACAACTTAATAATTCCATTCACTACAGGAGGTTATTTATGAAATCAAATGGAGCCATAAAACAATAAATAATGCTATCAAAAAGCAAGATTTCAATCAAAAAGTGTGGCAAAAAAGGATGGATAGTACATTGAATGTCTAATAAAATACCTGTACGTTGTATCCACACTAAGGTTAGCAGCTGCCAGGTCTGCAGTAGGGATCCAGGCGGGTAATGAGGTTCCCGACACCCATTTAGTCCACTCAAACAAACCTGGCTCAACTCTGATCTTAGTCTTCCCATCCTTTTGAAGACCTGGGACATACAATCCATAACAATGAATGAGGCACATGGGAAGAACTGATTTAGGGATGTGAATGGGCATGGCTAAAAAAAAAAAGTAGAAACCAATTCACGAAGAAACAAAAGACGAAAGATTTTATTTTACCTCTGAGGATATTGTGAGCTGTTTGCACACAGCGCAGAGATGGAGAACAGTATACAAAGTCTACCACTGAATTACTTTCTAGAAGAGCCTCCCCTGTGAAAGAAATCACACATAAACTCATGCAAGTGCAGGTAGTGGGGCAGAAATGACAGCATTAATGTCATTATACTATAAAATAGAAAGGAATTCATGTGATCTTGCTCTTAATGTGTATTTAACAGTGATGAGGGACTGACCTACTAGCCGAGCCTGCGTTGATCCGAACACAGTGATGGGGCAGTCCTTATCATAGTCCCTGTACCCTCCACTCCTCGCTGGGAGACTCGGCGGCATATTGAGGTTTGACCGCACATACCGACCTGCTCAATATACACAAACATAATAACATCCAGAAATTAAACATCAACATTTTGGCCAATACAGTTTCTTCAGTATATATTTTTCAATTTATAGCTGATGAAATATTTTAGAGCTTAATATAACTGTTAAATTTTAAAAATCGCTGAAATATAAACCAGCTTCTGCTTCTGGGAACAACTACTGTACAAATAACTGTTTTGGAAAATGAAAAATCAGACCTTTGGCATCAAAGCACTGAGTGATCCAGTGTTTCCCAAACACTACGTCCATTCTCTCACCATGGCGACACACAAACAACGTTCTCTTAGGCAACCGAGATTGATTGGGTCGTAGGATCTAAAACAAATCATTTTGAATAAAACATTATACATGAAAAAAAAAAAAATTCATATTCTGTCACATAAAGACCGGATCTTCAAGTCAGGCATGTGATCAGCTGAAGACAAAAAAAAGCATAACGGCCCACCCCCGGGAATTATTATTAATAAAAAAATTAGTCGATCAAATTAATAAAGGTATATCTTATTTTGCAATAATACATTCTTTTGTACTGTAAAATTAAAAGATTGAGTATTTAATAATCATGATAAAAATATTATATATTGTAAAACAATATGTTATAATATAAGTACTAATAGAATTCCATTATTATTCCATTATTATCATCATTTTAATTCATTTTTTATTTTATTTTTAGAACAACAGTAAAATTACATTACAAACATTTATGGATGTCTTCATTTCTTTGCTTTCAAAACCACAGGGAGACCCTTTAGCTTCTCTTTGTTGACAACATCAGATAAACAATGTTGGTTGGCGCATGTTTCCCTTTGAAACCTGGCTAACATGCTACGAGTGTCCTGCAGATGGCGCCGTGAGCTTGTGCAGCGCATTCAAAATGTGCATGAAATATTTATTTGAAAAAATAACATTTTGCAATTAATTTAACAACAATTTAAAGGGATGATGACATGAGAAACCAAATTTGCCTTGATCATTTGGCATATAAGAGGTCTTTCTGCAAGTTTCCTCCCTTTTTTAAAAGAAGCATGTAATCAATCTCCAAATACGTCTCGTTGTGGATCCTATGGGGCAAGGTGACATACCCTAGCTCCAGTCGTTTGCGTATAACCGCATCCAGCACCATTTCACGATTTCAATCTACATACGGTAAAAAGCACCAACCCACCCCCCATTTTTCTCAGATTTACGCACTTGGGTCATACTTTTCAGAGTGGAAAATACAGAAATCTGTTCAAATATGTAAAAATCATATCCCTGATTAGTGTTTTACCTGCATAGGCTGACATATGACACTAAGACCGGAGGCATCCAATGGCAGGGGGTCCTCAAGGAGACGATCCAAGTGTGGGTCACAAAACATCCCACCCACTGCACCTCTGAGATTGTTTGGGGGGATTCCATTAAGGAAAGAGAAAGACCTGGGAAAGGGAGATAATGAGATGGAGGTAAAAAGATGTAGAGATTGCTTTAGATCTGTCACCATTAGAGCTCGACACTAAACTTTTTACATTTTTGAAAACATGCATTTGGCAAAAAAAACAAAGATATTGTAAAATAGTATTACAATTTAAAATAACTGCTTTCTATTTTAATATATTTTAAAATGTCATTTATTCCTGTGATGATAATAAGCTGATTTTTAGCGATCTATTAATTCAGTCTTCAGGATCAAATCATTCTAATGTCTTGCTCAAAAACATTTCTCGAAATTATCATCATTAATTTTTGTGAAAACTGTCCATTATTATGTTTCAGGATTCTCAGATGAATAGAAAGTTCAAAAGAACAGCATTTATTTGAAATATATATATTTTGTAACATTTTAAAAGTCTTTACTGGCACATCAATTAAAAGATTTCACTTCTTTTATAAGATTTTTTTTTCTTTCATAATATTTGTTTACTGATCTCAAACCTTTGATTGCAATCAGCTTTAGTTACTTCATGATCCATCTTACCCATGAAATACCCAAGTGTCACACTCGTCTGCCCTACTGACGTAATTCTCTGGCAGTAGCCCAGATAACCCTGTGCTCATCGAGGTCCCGTAGACCCAGCCCTCACTGGCAGTGATCTGTTCTATAGACGACATGAAGATGAAGTCACTGGGCACCAGCTCCAGTTCATCATCATTCTGAGGCATGTAAGGGTACATCACTCGCAGGGTCTTAAAACAAAGAGACAGAAAGGTACAAATCCACCAAAACCAAAAAAGTCAGTAAGTGATAACATAATTATTCATTAGTACTGTTTCAACATTATAATTAAATACATCAGTGTTTAAAGTATTAAATTGCATTGTACTATAAAGTGTATCCATCTAACTTAATTATATTTTAGAAATTATTAATATAGTATGTTTTATTTTCTATAGATGATTTTCTGTAGCAAATATTTGGCATCAACAATGGTAAGTTATTTGCTAAATAATGGTCAATATTCTTAAAACAAAACATAGTATTCTTTGTACGTTTTTGGCAAAAGAAACAATGGATGACAATCAATAGATTACCTCATGATTGGCAAATCGGATGTCTCTTGAAAAGAGGACAGCTTGCCAATCACAGCACAGGGTTATGTCTACACCTTTGGCAAGTTTTTCTAATGATGCATGATGATTGGTTTGGAAGTGGTAGGCCAGAGTTACGTGAAGCTGCTTCTTATGGGTCTCCACATGAACATCTGGAGAGAGAGAGAGAGAGAACGCACATTACTTTGCATTAAAACCTTACTGGCAATGCAAATATCAGGGGCTTTTTACATGCCAGGAAGAACAGTAAAACTTAAATTGAACTGAATAAGGAAGAAAGGGAGCAACAAAGAAAGAAAATCAAAATTATTGACCCCAAAATGTCATCATCGGTAGCAACAGCAAATGAACACACACACACACACACACACAGACCTGCTTTGGATGCCGCCTCAACGGCAAAGTCTGCAGCAAAGCTCTTGATCACCTCAGCCACCTTCTCTTCCACAAAGAGGCCAATGAAGTTTGATGATGAGTAAAACTCCAGGGGGAGCGGGGAAGGGAAACGACCTTTCCACTGACCTACCACAGCCTGTAGAGCTTCACAGAGGGCATCTACCTTACCGTCAGCACACTACAGTGACAAAGAGAGAGATACAGTTCAACAATGATGTTGTCAACAACACCAAACTTTCAAAAGTTTAGGGAAAATTAATACTTTTATTCTGCAAGGACACATTAAGTTGATCAAAAGTGACAGAAAATACTTTTACATAGATTTTATGTTCTTTTGAAATTTCTATCCAAATCAGCATATTTGAATGATTTCTGAAGGATGATATGACAATGAAGAATGGAGTGATGGCTGCTGATAGATAGAAAACAGTTAACATATTGTGATAATATTTCACAATGTTACCCTTTTTCTGAATTTTTGATCAAATAAATGCAGCCTTGATGAGCATAAAAGACTTGAAACTTGTGCGGTTCTGTACATGGTGGAGAAGATTATCAATAAACAATGACTTGAATTTTGGTGTATCACTTCAAAGTACAGTCTGAATATTGGACTAATTTAAATGTTACTTTTTATAATACTTTTTTTTCACAAAATATCTTAAAATATGACAAAAATAATAGTCTGAAATGTGAAGTAACTCTGTTATGTAATTTTAAAACATGTAAAATAACGTTCTTTTATAGTTTCTAAGCTTGATGTGACTAAAAACCACTGCTGAACATGCATTTAAAAAGAGGTATTAAGTAAAACAACACTAAAGAACAGGGCTGAGAAAGACGAATATATGGCTGGAAATGTTGATGAAGTGCTCTGACCATGAAGAACTGGCAGAGCGTTATGTGAGGAAAGATGTTGTGGGCTTTGTTCTTTCCACATGTGATGCGGCTCTGCTGCCAGAAGTTGGAGAGCTGGTTGAGGAGGGGACCGCTGGGTTTCAGGTACAGCACATACTCCCTGGGTAAAGGATCGTCCAGGAACGGGTCATCCACGTGGGAAAACAACCTGTAGAATACAGGACATTCATGCCATGTTGGATATACTTTGTAGAGACATTATGAATGAGTGAGCAGTAATTTCAATTTTTGGTTGGGATGGAAAGTAAGGACATGACTGGCTTAATTTAATTTTTAAAGTGAGAACATATAAACGGTCAAATATTTTTGACTCCCTCCCAGCAGAGGGCAGCAGTAAACAATTATAGTGCATTGAAGTGCACATGAAGCTGAGTTCATGAGTACATGTGAACATCTGATAGTGTAATGTTTCTTTTCAGTGTGTGTGTGTTTGGGTGCATGTTAAAATGCAACATATTATCATTTCAAAGTGTCTGTGGATCAGCACAGTTCAACTGAAATGAACGACTGTCAAATCCGACATGGGTCATTGACGGGTGCATGTGTGGGCGTTAACACTCACCAATCACAAGCTGCTTGTACATTTCTGCCCCCAGTCGAAACCAGAGCTTTTAGCCTGTAACAGAAAGGACAGAGAGAGAGATCAGCTCAATTGCTGTACTGGTCACAAAATCAATGGCCTTCTTTCCGGAGGATGTTTATCAGTACATTAGCGCTGAGGAGTTTTCTCAGAGATCTAAATTTGATATTACAGAACAGAGATGTTTCACTATTGTTCCTATCTATGTATCTGAAACATAACACATTAAATCAAACGCAGGCTAAACAAACTCCATAATAATTATCTAGTCTAGACCACCCTCTGTCCCCCAGAGCAACATTGGAAAAGATTGATAATCATTGGTTTACTGGCATTTATGAATATCAAGGAGGTTTACGTATCCGGATTAGTTTTTTAAAAAAAGTGTGCATTTGTGTTGCATTTATCATATGACTATCTTTATGCAAAATATCCAATATGAGCACTGTGGTCTCAGACTTTTTACACCCCACTACTTTGCTCTTACTGGTTAGTACATAAAAAAGGTCATACCATTCAGTTCCACATATTTATAAAAATATTTATAAAACAATATTTAATATGCAGTTCCATAAATGAGTTCATTCTAATTGGTCTAATATTTTTTGCATAAAGGCCACAAAACTGTATAGGATGTACTAATGTTTCTTGTGGCCTCTTTCTTCTCACATAATAGAAGTATTTTTACTTTTTTGCCGTTATTATTCGTTTATTTATTTGATAATTAGTCAGAGAGTTTCCTACAGACAGCAACATCTACAATGCCATTCAAAGGTTTGTGGTCAGTAAGACTTTTTATAAAATACATGAATACTTTTATTCAGCAAAGATATGAAGAGTTCAGATGCAAAAGCCTCTAAATGCCATTTGAAATTTTCGTCTTTAATGATGATTTTTATCAAACTTGTATATTTTATTTCATTAATTTCACTTAAATAACAATTAATAGGTAATTATCATTGCCATTTAAGTGAAATTACTGAACTTAAATATACAAGTTTGATAAAAATCATCATTAAAGAAGAAAATTTCAAATGGCATTTAGAGGCTTTTGCATCTGAACTCTTCATATACAAAATGTATACAGTAAAGACTTTTACATTATACCATTCCAAATAAATGATGTTGTTTTGAAGATTATACACACAAAAATGGTTTCTACCATGGTTTCTACCATGATTATGTGATGTCATGTGATGCTGAAGACTGGACTAGCGGCTGCTGAAAATTCAGCTTTGCAAATCACAGAAATAAATTACATTTTAAAAATATATTAAATAAACAATGATTTTAAATTGTAACAATATTTCATAATATTACTCTTTTACTGCATTTTGATCAAATACATGCAGCCTTGGTGAGCTTTAGAGACCTTTCAAAAACATTTAAAAATCTCACCAATGAATGAAAAAGTTATGAGTAAAGAGCAACCCCCTGAATACATCAATGCATTGAACATCTCACAAATGCTCACTAAGTCTGACTCATTTAGCTAGTATCTTGCTTATAAAGATCATAGTGGAAAATAATATCACTTGGTCTGTGGTTTGAAGAACTGATGAAAAAGAAAATGTGTGCCATCTCTCTGTTCAGAAAAAAAACACTCTTTTCTTCCATCTCTCTGTAAAAAAAAAAAAACACCTGTTCTGACTAGTTTTTTTTTTATTCTCGCTTTTATCATACAGAACTAAAAGGTGTAATTAAAAGCAATCTGACACCTATGGTACAATAATTTAAGGTCACAGACCCACATGTTCACAGTTAATGAAAGTACCTTACTTGGTAGGGATAATTGCACATAATCTTCTCATGTGTAGGATGATATTATTTCCTCTGCTCGCATCTATACTGGAAAACGACATATAATCCAATCTAAGGTCACGCTAAACTCACTATGTCATTTCCTCATGTGTCAGCTGACATCTCAAAGGCTTTTTTCCTGAGCCGATTAAATTATCTTCTAAATTTAATTAGTGTCTTTTTATAAAGGCTCTAAAAATCACACACTCTGACTAACTCTCAGGGGGAATGGTGTGTTGATGTGCACCGTGGATAGGTTTGAAAGCTCACAGTAAAACTGAAAATGCAGCTTCAGGTTTGAAGAAAGCAGAAAAAAAACACACAAAAATGACTACAAGACAACATAAAGGGACGTTCTGCTGGTCAACAACAAGCAATCAGTGAAAATATGAGTAATCTGAGATAATCTCATCCAACCACAAACATTTAATTTCCACCAACTCAGGATGGATCACAAAAAGTTGTTCAGTGGCAGATTGATGAAACAATACGAATGAATTAAAGCAACATTTCACTACAAGTGTGCGAGCTTCCCTTACACCTCGCGAGAAAAAAATGTCAAGACACAAGAACAGTCACGCGTCAGAGATGAGGGAAATTATGCAGATTATGCACATTTTTCAAAGTACAGGAAGCCTCTGGTAATCGGCGCTCCACTACGCATATCTGACAACGTATCAGTGCATTATAAACAAACAAAACAAATATTTATATTCACTGCAGATGCACCCAGGTGCTGTATAATACATATGCTCTCCGATCAGCAAAAATGTAAGAATAGAGTAAAACTAAAAAAAAGGTATATTGTGATCAAATTTTACTATTTAAAATAACTTTATATTTTAAAATATAATTTATTAATGTACTTCAGGTGTCACATGATACTTCAGAAATCATTGTAATATGCCGATTTGCTGCTCGTGAAACATTTCTCATTATCAGTGTTAAAAACTTTGATAAAAGCTTTCTTTGATTAATAGTAAGAAAAAAAAACTTTTATAATAATATAAATGCTATTACTGTCTCATTTAAACATACACATAGTGGTTTAATTATTTGTTGGTTTGTTTTGTTTATTTTATGTATTTATTTATTTATTTATTTGTCTCAGATTTGAAGATTACTCTTAAAGTCAATAGTGTGTGCATTTTTGTGTGGTAATCCAGTTTGCAGCCAATGGATAGCGCTCAATTACTCTATATTTAGTTGGCTTCCCAGAGAAAAAATGGTCATCGTGCCAAATAACCCCCAGGGCCCAAGCCACAATGCATGCTGGGGTGGGGAAGCCCATGTTGCACAGCCATATGTCTACAAATGCATAAACATGCAATGCATTTATTGACTCACAAGCTAAACACGTATGAAGAAATGCAAGCATGTACTATCTTCAAAGTGTGCATAAATCTCACACACACACACCATATGGCATGGTTAATGACACTGAAACATGGTGAAACACATATTCAGACTTTCATACATGCATGATCAAGTTCAGATGCCTGTGCAGTCTCGCATATACACATTTTGCATTTGTGGTGAGCTATTCTGCCATGAATGAAAATAAAATAAAGATTGTTCCTTAAAACAGATACAAAAGAGGTTCCCAAAAACTTGCTTTACAGTTAATACTAAAGATCTGTTGTACAAAAGTTGGTGGCAATATACAAGGTGATGATTGTAGCAGCGAAATCCCCATACAACTGCAAAAGCAGCACCACAAGTAAACTATCAACCATCTGGTTTGTTATGAAGTTAATAGGTAAAGGAACAACAACAGACGTTTTTGTAAAGGAAACATTTTCCTAATCCACTCAAGGTTGTTGGCCTGAAGTTTAAGACTATATAAACATATAAACCTGCATTAATCAAAGAGATTTATTTACACAGGTTCTTAAGAAGCATTTGAACAAACTCCACGGTAGCACGTTCAAGACTTCCTCACACCCCAACCTAACACTCAACCCACATGCTCAAACTTTCATCACGTATACATCCACAAACACACAAGCGATGCCACACACACGCATACCAACTCCTATACATACTAAACAGCACTGACATTTATTCTACCTAATGCACATTTGAAATCAGAACTGATAAATCATTGTGCATCCGGGATCACACATATAAGCACGCACGCACATACATTTGATTATCCATCAGCCTATGTGTGTGTGTGTGTATTGTGTTACAGGCCATCTCCTCCTCCCTTCCCCTCTGGTCAGTGCTCCAGGCAGGAACTTAATGATTTATTTATAACCTGTATTTCCTGTGCAGCGTTTAAGAGGGATGAAGAGGTTGGTCCAGGGAGTACCCAGTTGACTGGGTGTGCTTTTGTGTGTGGGTGACTATTCATGTCAAAAAAAAAAAAATATTATCTTTTTTTCTGTTATTAATCAGCCTTTGTAACATTTTCTTGAGAGGTGGAGTACAAATGTGTAACATATGCATAGAGAATAGTGGCTCCATATTTTTGCCATCATTCTCGCTGCATTGGCCGAATCTCCAAACTCTATGGGGAAATAGTCACTTCCTGTTTACAGAGGAGTAAGTTAGCATGTATTCCCCATTCAGTACAACACAGCGCAACACCCACCCACACATTCACACACACAAACGCACATATAAAGATAAAAGGGTGTCCTAGTCTAGGTGCAGATATAGCTCCTGAAGACTCAATGAGGGGATTGCATCAGGCAATGAAGGCCGATTCAGTTCCTGCACACTTTTCTCTCACAATTTTATTACACAAACCAGTTTTGTGTTGCTAAGCATGGTTTTTTTTTTTTTTTGTCGAGGAACAATCCACATGTAAACAAAGTTACTGTAAATAATGTCAGAAGTAGAGAAAACTTTTTTAAGTATATGGGGGGAAAAAATGTGGTATCAACTTAAAGTTTGTCTGGGCTTTCAGAAAACACAATGTAATAAGTTATATAAACACAAAACTAATAAAAACCGTGTGGATCTTAGCTCAATAAGCTTGTATTTTAAATTAAGCTGAGTATTAACATTACACAAAATGCTGGGTTGTTTTAACACATTTTGGGGTAAAATATGGACAAACCCAGCCATTGGGTTAAAAATGTCATTTAAAAAAGTCACTCAATGGCTGGGTTTGTCCATATTTTAAAATTGGGTTAAAACATCCCAGCATTTTTAGAGTGATGACTTTCCTAGCTTGTCTAACTTGTTTCGGTGTTACTTCTATACACCAAAATATATACACTCACTGA